GGATACCCTCTGTATAAAATTTTTGAAATATTGATAAATTTAAGATAATTATTTATTAAATTATTAATATATTATTAAAATTGCTTTTAGACTTCAACTAAATATTCGAATGTAATAAAAATGCAGAGAACAATTTCGCGACAAAAGAATTAAAACGATTTTTGTAAGTAATCGTATGTTTATACTCTATAGGAGCGTGTAAATCGAGATAATCGCGTGATTTTTATTTAAAAGCGCTATAAAAGCAGCCACTCGCGAATCAGAGGAGCATAAACATCGCGGGCAATTGGCGTTGAGTTACCTCGTTAGATTTATCCTACGCTCTTGTTCTCCTCTTTCTCCGCGGTCCCTCGTCATCCTTTCCACTCCTCCCCGCTTCGTACACAGATTTGATTCTCTCCCGTTGCGTTAACTCGGGATATTACCTCGATTCTGTCGGAGAAATTCGGGATGTTGTAGAGGGGAGATGGCGGGGTAGTAGCGATAAGAATGGTTCGTTTCACAATTTTCGCCGCGTAAACGCATGTTTCTCAATACAAAGTTGAGCGGTGAAATTCAAGCTGTATGTATACATATGTACTCTCCTTAATCGCTCGAAATTTTAGTCACTTGAAACATCCAACATGTTACATTGTTAAGTGGAAGCATAGACTCTTTGCATAACGCATAATGCATCAGGTATAAAAAATTAATTAATCCTTTATTTAATAAAAAGAGAAGAAATAAAAGACTTTAATTGGTTTATTTTCTTATGTATTATGGGTTATGCGTTATGCAAGAGTGTATGTCGCGAGTTTCAGTTGTAACACAAAGAATATTGACATGTATGTACTGCAGAAAACTATCATGCGTCAATTGCATTTCTCGCGGTATTTTGGCGAAAAAAATATGATAGTGTGAGTTTTGCGGAGATTTTGATCAATTCCGAGTACAGGTTAACAGATATATGTCAAAATCATCGTGATATTGCGTTTATGTATATGTATATGATATTAAGACGAACATTGTTATGATGATATTGAAACACTCACTATAATACTATTTTTACTTTGTAATAATCGCGAAATATACAGAATGATTCGAATTTGATTTCGCTATCTGTCGCGGTGGGTTTTATAACTGATTCTACGATCCAAAGTTATCGACCGCAGCGCATGGTGCAGTATGCTTGAAACATTGTGGTACACTAAGAAGAGTGAGCATATTTAAGTATATAGACTCATATGTATTATTTATTATATATAACTTATGAATTATTATAATTATTATATAAATATATGAGAGCGAGTAATTAAATATTGCACCCTTCCAAAAATCTATTATTAGCCAATTTATTACTAAAAGACAATAATTAATTATTAAAGTTATTAAAATTTAAGGTACTAAAAAAGTAAAAAAGTACCTTAAATTTGATTGAACAACAGTGCTTTTAGTATTTAAATAAGCATTAATTAATTTTGTATTTAAAATAAGTAATCGATTATTGTCTGTATATATATATATATACATATATATTTAGCTGTGAAAAAAAAAAGAACGACAAAATAAACATATAGAGCTCTAAATAAACACATACAAATGGTACATATAATTAAACACATACTTGACGATGATTGTGCATCAATTGTATTTAGTGCAGCAGTATTTCGATGACAATAACCCAAATAAGATTTCAATCGATATCGCGGAATTTAGAACATTCTAAATCGAATCATTAATTATCGAAATGGCGATATTCGAAATAATAACACTGTTCGAAAAAATTTGATCATTTTTTTCCAATGCAAAAATGTGAATAGTCATTTCTGACATATTTTTGCTTGTTAAACATCAGTCCGTTAATAAAAATTAACTAGCACGTTACAATTTTGAAAAAATTAACTTTGAAAATTTTACGATAATGTAGCACTAGTATTAATTAAATTTTTTTCTTATTAATGTCGCGCGATTAAGTATCAACTTTTATTTTGCAATTTTCGCAATAGTTAATGAGATATTAATTTCTAAAGATTGCTAGTAAAATTGACACGTAAAACAATTTTAAGATATTTTAAGAGTTTTAAGTTTTTTAAGAGCTGTCTCTCTCAATTTTAAATATTCTTATTGGGTAAAAAAGATACAAGAATTGCAAAATACAGTGGGCTTTTCAACTCACAATTAGTTTAATCTGCTCTACCTGTCCACAAACGGTGTGTCAAAAATTTAAAATATCCTGTATATGAAAATAATTTCATCAAAACTATAATATTTCTACATTAATATATCTTAAAAACAAAAACTCATATCGAAATGACAAAATACATTTTAAAATTGATACTTTTGCAAGGCATTAGTGAAACATAAAAAGATTTAATACTATATACAATGTCATGAAAACCTTCATAGTCGCTATTGTTTATTCTTTGATGTCATTTTTCTCAAATGATGACATCATAGCCGAATTTTGTCAATTAATTTGCATTCGGCAGACAAAAATATGTCGAAAATGATTATTCACATTTGTATTGCTATATCGAAACAATATATAAGAGACAACTGGTATTAGACAGTATAATTATTATATACATATAATTATCTCGAGACGAACACTTATAATTAATTCTGAGGTACTCGCTATAATTCTTTTCGTAGTGCAAGATATTTACTTTTAGATTATAATAATCGTGAAAGATTTAGAATCATTTGAATTCTACTTCAAAATGGATTATGAGCCTCGCGGCGCGTTCCGTAACTGACTACGCAATCCAAAGTTATCGGATTAAATATATGTATATATAGTGCAGTAGATGCGTTCTCAAAATATCAAAACGAAATACCAACCAGGCTGCTAAATGCAAAGTAACGAGAGAACATTACATTAATTATAATTTTTTCTATCTATATCTCAATAATGTAACTGTTACATACAACATGCGTTATATGTTATGGTTACGTTTATGTTATTAAATAGAACATTGTTTTACTTTGTAGTTAACGAGAAGTTAATTGGATGCGTTCTTGTTTAATTTTACTTAATATGAAATATAAATATATTCTTAAGATATTTATAACTTAGGAAAAAAGGGAGGAGAGATGAGAAGAAACAAGTGGAAGAGATAAAAAAGTACACAGAAAATACGTATAACGCTAAAACATGAAAAATTGCTGTTTAATGCAAAAGTGATTTAAAATTTAAAATGTTTCGATATAGATATTAGAATTAGTCAAAGATAGCGAATCATTTAATGCAAATATATAATTAAATATAATTAAATTATAATCTCTTTAGCGATTTAGCTGGATCTTAGCTGCTTGTATATACTTCCGTGTGAATTTATTATATTACATATATGTAGATTTAAATTACGCGTCGAAATTTTTCGGTCTTGAAACGCAAAAATTTTACTAAACTACCACGACAGTAATATTACGAGTTAAATTGACTATTCGATGTATTTATTTACAGATTTTAATATGTTATTTAAACAATGTTAAGATCGTTCTTAGATGTTTCAAGAGCATCGAATTATTAAATTACTAGTCATAGTAAAGTTTGCATTTTAAGACCGACTTAACATATACAAATTCACACGGAATTATATAAGCACCTAAGATTCTACTACACCATTGAAAGTATTATTTTCTTTTGGTTGCATTCTCACATGTACCTATGAGATTTAATATTTAATACAAAATATAATTATTAAGATTAATTACGTACATATTATATGTAATGATTATTGTGCAGCATTTTGTTGTATTTGAACGAAAAAAAAACTTTATAAAATATACAAAAATAATTCTATCGTGATAAACAACTCGGTCTGGCGTATAATATTATAATTGTATACGATGTTTTAATACCTTTTTCACATTTGCGATAATTTTTCACGCGCAAGAATCACTTTAGCCAATAACAACAGATAAATGACGCAGCAACTTGAACGAGACTTTGCGATTTACCATGACATGCTACGTAATTGACTATGACGTGAAGTTTATATAGGATCAACATGAATGTGTATCGGAACTGTTGACGCGAACTATAAATCGCAAATATTAATTATATCATATAAATAATATGCCGCGGATGTTTTACGACTAAATATTAATAAATAAGTCTGGAAACTGACAGAAAAATGTTTGATATTTGTGACTATAATTACATAATAAAATAATTATAACGAAGAGCTTCATTTTTTACTACTATAAAATGTAAGTAATAACAATTATACATATATACATATGTATATACACATATACATATATTGAAATTAGTAACGATAAGAAGAGCTACAAGCTAAAACAACTTATTATAGTTTAATTGAACAATAAACGCAATTTATATACAAATAACGTTTCAACACCGATCAGGTCATTATCAATTAATATCTATAAATACAATTGTAAAAGTTGGTAAATCTTGAAAGTATAAATATACGTACAAGGATATGTTTAACATAACGTAAAATGCAAAAAGTGATTGACCATATCACATCGCGTTCTTATTGTATATAAAGTCCTATCTATAGAGAGAGAATGAATACGGCCAATTGTTATTTTTTCTCTAAAACAGAAACGAGAAAATTTTCACGTACTATATATATGTATACTGTGTATGTAGTATGTATATATACACACATACGTACAAAAAAATTTTCACTTTTCCCATTTTCGCCCTAAAGAAAAAGTTACTTGATTAATCCCTAAACGATTTTGCGCAAATACGTGAAAATGTATATATGCGTACGTGCAAAAAAAAAAACGATATCGAAAAAAACGGTATATTCTCTCTGCATTCTCTTATTATTAAGATGCCGCGTGATTTATTCGCGTGTATGTATGTATGTACATGTTTGCTTCGTGCGACTACAGGGCAAATTTCAGCAAATTTCAGCAAATTTCATAAAATTTTCTGAATATGACGGTTTTAGCGGTTTTAAGCCGTGCGCCGCGCTGCATTCGCTGTTTCTGAAAGCGCCGACACGACACGCCGACATAGCACAGTACTGCGTCGAATGTCGTGTATGCAGAGGTAAATTGTTTGTAGATGTGGTACACACTCTTAGCAATTCCAAGTTATTATCTACGTTTTACGAAACATTTCAGACAAAATGTCTTATCAATTGTATAGAAATACAACATTAGGAAACACGCTGCAAGAGAGCCTTGATGAGTTGATACAGGTGAATACATAATGTTGTTAATACATAGGTTAGATTTAGCATTTTAGGCGGTATATAAAGAAAAAATAATTTGTTTCAAGTGAACGATAATATAATTTACGCTAGCTAAGTTTATCATTTACATATGAGGAGCAGACTTTCAAAATGCGTTTTGTTCGAAATTTATAATTTTCAGAAAACGAGAAAGAGAAAGCCACAAGCAAATTACGTGTCTTACAGAAAATAACAATTTGTCAATCAGAAAGACGTAAAATGTTAAACACAATTGCTAAACTATTTCTAATAATGTTAAACAAATGCATTTTGTTTGTTTTTAGTTAAAGGACATAATACACTTTGAATGTTTATACTTTTTTCAGCATATAAATGGATGGTGGAAAAATACTTTCAGAACATTGTAGTGTAGCTTAAAATATAAGTCTTGCAAAACACTGAACATCTCTAATTCAAAAAATAAAATTTGGTTAAAATATGCAATCTGCTCCTTATATAAAAAATTTCATTTACATTATAAAATTAAAAAGATAATAAGTAACTCTTGCAATAGATACTGATTCATCTATTCTTTATACAATTAAAATCATATTTGTACTGTATCTAATAATGAGATGATATATATTCCAGTATGGACAAATAACACCACAGCTTGCAATAAAGGTGTTACTACAATTTGATAAAGCTATTAATCAAGCTCTTGCAACAAGAGTTAAATCAAGACTTACATTTAAGGTAAATTTCTTCAGTATTTGTATAATTTGTTTAGCTTGACTTTATTATATTCAGAGAGTCTGATTTAAATGAATTAACTTATTATACAGGCTGGCAAATTAAACACATATAGATTTTGTGATAATGTGTGGACTTTTATGCTAAATGATGTTGAATTTCGTGAGGTTCAGGAGGTTGCGATAGTAGATAAAGTAAAAATTGTTGCTTGTGATGGAAAAAGTAAGTATTTATGCTAACAAAAATATGGCATAATATATTTATTTCATAACTCAAATTAATTATTGAACAAGCAATAATTTATAGTTATTTATCATATTGTTTATTAGTTTTATACTGTTCAGAAGAAATTTTTATAATATAAATATTTTTTTCAGCATTGGATGCAGATGGAGCAACAAAACGATAACAAATTTAGCATCTTATATATGCATGGGAAATCTTTCTTTACACTGTTAAAATAATTTTGTGATAAATTACAAAACAAATAAGTTAAAGTAATGTAAAAATAGGTATATGTGTGTGTGTGTGTGTGTATACATACTTCTTCCCAGTAAACATTAACTACCGGAAACTATATAGTAATATATATTAAAAATATATAATTTTTTATAACTGGATGAAACCAATACTTAACTTGCATGATAACAATACTTTTACTTGCCTATTTACATATACAAGAATTTAATATCTTGTTAAAAGTTTCTATGTAAATTTGAACATAAATTCAAAAAGGGCATTATTATTATTATTAATATATGGACAGGTGTTAAGATTATTTTATAAATTATATCATATGAAGAATGATGGAAAAGACGAGAATGTATGATTAACTTACAATAATTTATTAATAAGTAAATACATTAAGTTCGTTATAAAAAGTAATGTACCTATACTTGTTATTGTAAGTACTGTGCTTTCTCTGATATTTCTATTATGTGGCATGGAGTTCAATAAATAAAGCACGACTATATTCAGAATATATTGACCATCCAGAAAGAAGCAAGGTACAATATTAATGATTGCCAACCCTGCTGAAAATACTGTAATATATTTACAAAGTAGCGCAAAGGACTCGGGTAATTCAGGATACAAGAAAGAATATTTTGGCACCCAATCCGATACGTCAACAGTCCTATAAATGTCTGCTGGATGACCCAAGAATAATACATCCTTGCCCATTTTTCTCTTTATGTGTATAATCTGCAATTTTAAATCGTTTAAAATTGTTAAAAAAAAGTAACAATTTCGAAAATATATTTATAATATAGAGAATAAATTATATTTTCTGTTTCTACCCACTTTTGTGATATTGTCTAAAGAAGGTTTCATACAATGAGTATCATGAGATAAACACTCGTGACTAGCTTGACAGAAATTTTGTGACTGATTAAGCATTGCCCTTACTGAAAGGCAAGAATGCGGAGGTAAGTGAAGAGGAGCAGTTTGTGGTCCTTCAATATATTCAAAACACAGATTGCCATTTATTTCACTGTCAGTTGTACAGCAATTCACAGCACCGTTCGTTTTTTGTTTAGCTGGCACTGACTCATCATAATCCTACAAAATAACAGATATAATAAAGTTATTATATAATAATTGAAATTAACAATAATACAAATACTAGACGCTAAACAAAATGAAATCATGATGTAAATATTTCTTAAGGGGATCCTTAAGCAGTCTGTATTACCGACTAAATCGTATAATTTTTGCATCGTAAATACTTACACATAGAAGTATTTACGATACAAAAATTATACGATTTAGTCGGTAATACAGACTGCTTAAGGATCTCCTTAAGGAAAATACCTGAACAAATGACTGTTTAACACAATAGCCAGGAGCAGAATGTTGTACTGCTTGCAACATACAATCGTACCAATCCTCACTATGCTTTACAGGACAATTATTTAATTTGTATATTACATCATATTCCAAAAGACCAGTTGGTCCTAATACAGGTGAATTCTACGAAAAAATATAATAAAAGAAGTATATTTTAATAGAATATCTTTTTGTTACTTACAGGTAAAATAGTTTTTACATAAACCCCAGAGCCAATATTATAAAGTGGTGCCCATAGCCACGTAGAAAAAACAAGAATTGCTGCAACTATTGTAGCAAGAATGATATTATGCCAAATTCCTGCACATGCAATACGTAGCTGATTTCTTAATGGCAATGCGACCAATTGTTCATTGCTTATATGTACGTAAGCTATTGGAATGGTGAAAACAATCACAATTCCTAAACCAAACAACTGCACATCCTCTCTTGCCGCAGCAAGGGCATGTCCTAATTCATGAAATATACTACATATTGCTAGTGTTATTACATAATAGCCAATTTCGTTGAAAGGAATATCCACACCTGGTAACTAAAACATAAAATTATGAAATTAAATTACACAAAAAAGAGATTAATGAAAAATTTTTTAAACCTATATTGTACTAGAATTAAGTAGTTATATTAATATCACATTCTAATGTATTAATATAATAAAATGTATAAAGCATATAAACTAGTTTTTAGCTAAATCGCAGTCTTTTCACATCTATAAAATCTCTTATATAGTAAAGATTATTTAAAAATATCTAATCTCCTTACATATCTTTATTTCTATAACTATACCATAGGTTCCAATATAGCTCCTGAGCTAGTATCGCTTGAGGATCCAGCTAGCCACATGTTAAATGTCATCTTCAAAATAATGATTACAGCTATCGGCAAGAGTATAATGCTTATAATGATACCAGCATTGAACCAAGCGATCCAAAACCTGGAGCAATCCAGTCCCAATTTTATTATTTTGCGATTAAAAGCAGTTGTAAACCATTTTACTCTCAATATCTGTATCTCCAGACCAGTATTTTCCAGGAAGTAGAGATATGGAAAATGTGAACAGGACTAAAAAACATATCACAAGTTATCCTTACCATAATAAACTTATATATAATCTATATTACTAAATTGAAATTAATGACATGAATTTTATAACGGAAAATGTAGATATTAATAACATCTAATAATTTCTTGAGTCCAGAGAAACTTCGCTGATGTATCATAAACATAATTTTGTTTTAAAGGGTCTTTGCATCTAGCAAGAGTAAAAAAACATCATAGATAATTGTACATAAGATAATTGTACGATTTACCTTAAAAAGCATATCAAAAAAGAATAGTGAGCAATGTATCAAGGCTATCGCAATTAACACGCTCAAAGCATCCATTTTTCAGTTTATTTCAGTTTGGATCTTGGATGCCGGTCTCTCATAACTACCTACATCGCTGTATTTCACTTAAATGTATTGAAAGTCACGCACACAAGCACCAATCCTCATAGCATGCAAGCACCCTTTTTCTCTCCTACATTCTCTTAGATGTTAATATATGGTCAACAACAGTTGCAAAGGTTCTTTATCTGCTGAACGCAGCGATTAAAATTTTAATTTACTAATTGGATAAATGCTAAAGCCCATGGCACATACAAACCGTAAAGCCGTAATCACACTAGCGATTGCGCGATTGTGATTGAGGATTACTTCTCAACCAATCGGAACAAAGCAATCGGTGACTGCTTTGCTCTGATTGGTTGAAAAGTAATCGTCAATCACAATCGCTCAATCGCTAGTGTGATTACGACTTAAGGCCGTAAAACGTGATCAGTAGGCGAATTGGCCAATCACAGTAGAGACCGTAAGGCCGGTAGCGAATCCAATGTTATGCGTGGTCTACAATGGCAGTAGTAGTAGTGAATGAGACTGTAATGTAGGATTCACACTGCGTCCGACATCCGACGTCCGATATCCAATAGGAGAGCTTATTTTCTTGATATATAGCTAACAATATTTTGTAACAAGCTCTGCTATTGGATATCGTACCGTCGTACTTCGGATGTCGTACGCAGTGTGAATCCTACATAAAAGTAAGAAATTGACCAATCACGGTCGATTATTCTTCTCACATTCGACTGTGATTAGTCAATTTCTTACTTCTACAGTCTCATCCACTACTGCTACTGCCATTATAGACCACGCATTACGATTTCCTTAAGCCAGAAACACAGAGAAAAACGTAAGACCGTAAGACGAATCAGTAAGGAAATCGTAACACTGGATTCGCTACCGACCTTACGGTCTCTACTGTGATTGGCCAATTCGCTTACTGATTACGTTTTACAGCCTTAAGCGGGTAGCACAGACTTTTGCATAACGCATAAAGCATGTGCATAAGGAATTTCATTGGTCCATTTTCTTATGCATGAGTCAATGGACCAATCAAATTCTTTATGTATATGGTTTATGCGTTATGCAAAAGTCTGTGCTCCCCGCTTTACGTTTTTGTATGTGCCATGGACTTAAACACAATGCGAGGGAATAGCGATAGCGATAAGATTCAACCTATCAAAAATGCGTATTCCGGTGTATTCAATTTCTGATAAGTTGAAACTTATCGCTATCGCTATTCCCTCGCATTGTGTTTAGGGCTATAAAGGAACAGAGAACAGAGAATAAGAATTTCAACCTATCAGAAATCATGTACTATGGAATACGCACTGTTTATTCCACAGTAGTCTATTCCACAGTATATAGACCTGTTCTTTTTATCGAACTGGTGCACAGAGTGCAATAAGTTGAAATAAAACAGATATACGTTTGTTTCATTTCAACTTATTGCATTGTATGTGTATCAGTTTAGTCAGTGCAGGCAAAAAGAACAGGCCTTATGACTTCTGATAGATCGAAATTCTTAGGCCGGTATTCATAGTCAGTTCTTAAATTCAAGAATGTCTTAAGTTCAGTCTTGAGGAGTTACGAACCAATCAGAAGGCCGCTTTAGCATCTTAAGACTAGAGTCCTAGTTCAGGGACTCTACTTAATAGCGTTTTCCACTGGGAAAACTGGTGCAGCACTAGTGCCGTGCTACCCAATCAGCATACCATATTTAAGAAATATTTTTTAAATATGGTATGCTGATTGGGTAGCACGGCGCTAGTGCTGCACCAGTTTTCCCAGTGGAAAACGCTATAAGACTAGAGTCATCTAGGACTCTACTTAAGACATACTTAAGACAGGCTTAAAATAAGAACCGACTATTAGCGTTTTCGAATCGAGTGGGACCCGGGTCGGTTAACCCATGTTTAACCTAAAAATATCATGATCTCGTCCAATCAGAAATCGAAATAGAGCATGTGACGTCAAAGATCCGACCCGGTCGGGTTCAAATCCGCTCCATTCGAAAACGCTATATGAATACCGGCCTTATTTTCTGTTTTCTGTTTCTTTTATTTTGCGTAGTTTCTTACTTTCTGGTTTCCTAGATGCTAGACTAGGGGCCTCTTTCACCAACGCCGATTAACTTAATTGACGATTAGTCCATTGGAATTGACCAATCGCGTCTGTCGTCAAAATTAAATGTTAAATGCGATTGGTCAATTCCAATGGACTAATCGTCGATTAACTTAATCGGCGTTGGTGAAAGAGGCCCTAGGTGCGATTCAAGATGTGATTCAAGATAATAGACTAGTACCTGATAGGTTAAAAATCTTAATATTTATTCCCGTCCCTTAATATTTGTTCTCTTGTGCGCAGGCCTTAATAGAAACAGAATTGTGAACTCGACATCTCCACATATCTTGAGGCGTCTTTCCATGCGTTTATTGGTTGATAGGTGTCACTTTCATACTGATCGTGTTAAATTTTTTATCACCTAACGTATATTTACAATCAAATATTGCTCCGTATGCGACGCGACAGTATTTTTAGTATATGTGTATATACAATATATAACATGTCAGATCTTGTAGAGAATCAAGTTCAATTGCTGCTTGCCGGTCAAGCATTAGAAAGTGACATATGCAATGTACATACTCTTGCAAGTGATACAACAGGTATGTCTAACGTCTTCGCATTGCAAATACTGCATACTTTCATAATGTTCTTATAAGAGAGATGCAGAATCTTCTTTCTTTCTATCTTCTAAAAAGAGAAAAATTTGGTATAACACATATACATTATAGGTTCAAAATCAGGTCAATTAACAGCACACATTCCTATTTGTCTGAAAACAGTGACGTACATAGTTGCTGCTGTTGTCATAAATGATCAAGGCGAAGTGTTAATGATGCAAGAAGCAAAAGTTTCTTGTACTGGAAAATGGTACTTACCAGCCGGTAGAGTAGAGAAGAATGAAAATCTTATAAGTGCTGTGAAGAGAGAAGTCTTAGAAGAGACAGGTCTGGTGATAGAGCCAACAACTCTGATATTAGTAGAATGCGCAAATGGTACATGGTTTCGTTTTGTTTTTACCGGGGATATAATCGGCGGTACTCTAAAGACACCTGATCAGGCAAATGAGGAATCGCTACAAGCATGCTGGTTACGAAACATAGATGACTTGCCATTAAGGTCTAACGATATAATATATCTCTTAGACCGAGGCAAAAGTTACATTTCAAATAAAACTGTTCCCCAACATCCTCATTTGATGCCTGTGACCAAATCACACACGAAATTATCGTTGAGATTAATAGTTACATCTAAGAAAAGAGCGACGTAAGTATTATACAATGTGTGTGTGTTGTATCTAATAGAATTACAATTATATTGTTATGTAGTATATTTATAACGTAATTATTTTTATATTAATATTTGTATAAATTTTGTTATAACAGGAATAGATTACATGTGTTATCTGATACTGAACAATATAATCCACCAATTTGTGAACTTAATCCAAATCGTAGTTTACTGTCTACTTTGCATAGCTTCATGACTGTGAGTATATTAGAGAAGCATTTTATGCTTCTTTAATATTTATATAGAAATATAAATATTAATGAATATTATTAAGTATCAAATATGTACAATATATTGCATATATATGTATATATATTATATAAAAATATATATATATATATATATATATATTAAAAAGTTCTTAGAACTAAAAAATTTGATCATGTTGCAAAAACATTTTTTTGCATTAATAATATGTTACATATAAATTATTCACAAAATAGATCCATTTACCATATATGTGTAATTTATATTTGAGAAAAACATAATTGGAAGATTTTGTTATAAAGTATATATTTAGGCTTCTTTTTTTTAGGAAATATTTGGAAACGATGTACCACAGCATAAACCACACGGTTTATTGTCTATAGAATTTAGCGGTGGACAAGAAGGTGATGGTCTGTGCTTAACATTACTGGTATCCTTTAAGTTACCATTGGAAGACGTGCCTATAATCGGGAAATATATTTGGCACGAGCTTTCTGAAAATGTAGCAGACTCTCTTGCAATCCGTCTGCCACGAAACATGACTGTCCCTTTGAAGGTCGTACGTTAATTGCAATACAAATGTTTTATTAAGCTATTATTTTGTTTGATGAAAATGAATGGTATATAATATGCAGTAATTTTTGTACTAAAATCAGTTTATAATGTTAACATTGGCTGTGTTCCAAAATTGTTTGCTAGCGCTGGCAGCACTGTCAACACCGTTCCAAAAATCATTGTAGCATACTGTGGCAGTGCTGCGAGAGAGCAAAGACATCACTAATTTTGTCATCACTTCCTGCTGCGGTTATCGAGGTGAGGCAGCTACAGCACAAAAATCATGGAAAAGATGGTTGAGTTAGTTTTAATTGACACTGTAATACCGAATATAAAATTAATGTTTCGATAGAAGATGCTGAGAAAGCAAAAAGTAGAATCAAGTGCTAACTTTATAATAGTTTCAAATAAGAATTTTTTCTGTATGGTTCTCTCAATACTTCTAGATTATTTATTTTTTTTCATCACGTCGCTACACGCTTAAGCCTTGTGTCCACAATGCTAGAAATCGGTCCGAGATCTCGGATGAAGAAAGAATTAACAAATCACATTTGAACAATTTGGTCACATGACCAATGTAATTGGTCAATTTTTCCTTTATTCGAGATCTCGGACCGATTTCTAGTATCGTGGACACGAGGCTTAAGGGTGCAAACCCATGCAGCGGAATAGCGTAACGCGGAACGAGAGCAGAACCAATCACGAGATTCTCTAGAAACACGGAATGCTTGTTATTGGTTCTGCTCTCGTTCCGCGTTACGTTATTCCGCTGCATGGGTTTGCACCCTAATAACACTGAAAATATCGTTTCAAAATGAAAGCTGCGTTTGCATGAAAAGTTTGCTTACTAAAAATGCAACGCTATTGGTAGCATGCACTTTTGGGTGTGTTCCGATATAGACTGCCAGTGCTGGCAGTACTGAAAAATCGTTCCATTGGCTGCGTTCAGCAGAAAAAAGCAGCTTTGCAACTGTTGTAAAATTCTTGAATATGATTGGCTTATACATTTAGATCTAATGAGGAAGTAAGGGCAAGACCAATCATATTAAAGAATTTTGCAACAGTTGCAAAGCTGGTTCCTCTGCTGAACGCAGCCATTATTAGTGCGCAGCGCACTGCGACAGTAAACAAATACGGCACCAAACATACCACGTGACCATAGTTCCCTCCTCGCTAAATGGCTTCATCCCCCGCAGTTATTGCTCCGTCCTGTTATTCCTATGTCCATGACATACACGCAGCACTGGTAATCAATTTTGGAACACAGCTATTGTACCTTAGTAACCCTAGTTACCCCTATACCAATGACTTTATAACAAATATTAACAACAAATATATGAGAGATAATGGTCGCGTTCAGTAGACTCAACTGTTGCGGAGCGGATCCGTGAACGCTCACTGCTATTAGATGATCTAAAAGAATATACCAATAGTAGTGAGCGCTCACGGATCCGCTCCGCAACAGTTGAGTCTGCTGAACGTGACCAATAATGGCTGCGTTCCGTTTTAGGCATATGCGCGCATTTTATATAGTGAGCGTCACGTATACTATAGGGGAATGCGCGCATATGCGTAAAACGGAACGCAGCCAATATTCCAACTTCTTATGTAATATAAGTAAGCTATATATAATAATGTTATTATATTTAGCTTACTTTTATATACATGTATATAGGGTGAGACATTTTAAATATATCATCGCCTTAGGCAAATATCTCAGAAACTGAAGAGAGATACAAGAAATAGTTTTATATAAAAGTTGTAGATTTTCTTAGGGGAAAGATGGAAATAACGGATTTTGGATAGGGTACATTACCAAGTTTCTGAGATATTCGCCTGAGGCAATTAAAATGACTCACCCTGTATATATCTACACATGTTTATACTTTATGTTTATGACAAGAAACTAAAGTATTAATCATAGAATAATGTAGTAACACATCAAATGGGATTAAATTTTTCTTCTTAAAAGTTTAATCTGTTCTCACAGACTAATTATAAATTTTAATGTATTAAGCGATATAATAATAGTATAAAAATCTCACAGTATATTTATTATATATATATATATATATGAAATACAAATTTTATAATTTAAATTATAGATTGTATACATATGCATAATATACATATAATTGTAGATATGAAAAGAAATAATTAAAGCCAAGTTTATAATGTTTAAAAATTTATTATTGAATATTACATAAAAAATATTTAGAATTGTTAAATAGATTTGAAATTTTATATTTGCATGTATGCGATTAAAAGTTACAGTCTAACATATCTTGTTTGTGCAAATTGTACCGTTTTTAATCAACATGTACTGTGTGTGTGTGTGTATATATATATATATAAAATGTAAAAAATCCAAGTAAAGATAATTTATTGAAATAATGTAATAATAAGAAATAAATATAAAAGTAAGGCTAATAAAGAAATTAACGAAAAATTTATATCACTATTAGATATCATTTCAAATTGCACATATGAGCTTAAAGTAAGATTTAAATTATATTTTTATTATTTTTATACATGTTATACTTTGCATACTTAAAATATATAATAATAATTTCAATGACTTACTTCATTTAAGGGTTATTTAAGCCTGATATTATTAATTATAACATACTTGTATAAACACAAATAATTGAATGAGAAATATATAGACCATGTTGTTTATACAAATACATGATAGATATTTTTTAAATAAAAATATTGTTTCTACTGTCCTCTTATATCCTATTTTAGTAACTCAAAAACATCACAGATCATTATAATCATGTATTATTTTATCTGAAATAAATCTACAGAAAACACGCGTTTATAATTTTATATACATATAGTAACGTTATATTTAGGAAGACTACCATATAACTACACAAAGGTATGAAAATGAAAGCTATTTTCTGCCTTTGTCGGTAAAAAATTGCTTGTTTGCAAGTAGAGCATTGAATAAAAAAATACCAAGGATATTTTAAGAAATTCCTAATGTGCAGGATATTGTATGTAATTTATTACAAATCACATTAGAAAACTTGTTAATAAAGATCTCTTAAAATGAAAAAGATTAATTTTACATTTTGGAAAGATCATACGTAATAGATACATTCTTTCTTATTATTAAGGCATCAAGAATTGGAAATTTTCAATTTTATTTAGTTATTGACAGTATCAACTTGTAACAAATTATATGACTCATCCTGCATAATAATAATAGTGTATATCTTCAACTAGAAGTAGATGTTAATCTTCCTATTGTATTTAATACAGTATCTTCTGTACTTTCATTTTTAATAGGAACCACATTACTAGTATTATGCATTAATTTAATGTCATCATTGAGCGTTAAAGATACATTATTTAAATAATTTGAAGAAGCGGTAGTGTTAACATCTGTAGTACTAGTATGTAGTATATGCTTTTGATTGTTTTCACAATCATTTAGATTTGTGTCTGTATTTACAGGATGTTTTTTCATATGAGTTGTTAAATTACCACTGTGATGGAACTCCTTCCCACAAATTTTACAATGAAATGGTTTAATTCCGGAATGTATCCTCTCGTGTATCGATAAGTTACCACTGTGTCTAAATTCTTTACCACACACATTACATTTGTAGGGCTTTACACCCGAATGAGTTCTTAAGTGAGTTGAAAGATTTCCACTATGGCTAAACATTTTTCCACATATCTGACAACCATATGGACGTTCACCAGAATGCGTTCTCATGTGTATAGCCAAGTTTCCACTGTGTGTAAAACACTTTTCACATTGGCTACATTTATATGGTCTGTCTCCATTATGCGTTCTCATATGAATAAATAAATTACTTTTGTGTCCAAATTCCTTGAAGCAAATCTCACATTGGCATTTTAACTTCTTTCCTGTACTAGATTCTGTAGAATTTTTGGATGGCCTCCCAAGACGATTATTTTTTGCAGCAGTCAGTGATTGCGTTGTTAACGTCTGACTAATATTTCCTACATTTTGCAAATCTTGTATAGACTGTGACTGTTTGTTTTCTTGAACTATGACAACATTACTTAGAGGATCACATTGGTTATTTGTCTGTATTTGATTGTTGCCATCTTCTTGATTAACTGAAAGGAATATGCCATTTTGCATATACGATAAATTACCAGCTTCCTAGAACAAAAATGTATGAAACTGAATATAGTAAAATCATGTGTTGAATCATGAAATGCAAGTTGTTCACAATACTGTATATATTTACCTCTGCTTGGAACATAGCCTGTTGATTGTGAATTTCATTTTTCGCAGGGACTTCGTTCGATAACTGTGTTTGTTCCCAAAACTGAGACAATTGACGGTGCTTATATTCAATATCTTGATTGATAAAAGGATACAAGGAACTATCCGAGCTGTTAATTCTATTACTCGCATTTACATCCTCTACGATTGTACATTCATGTTTTATTTGTATAGGACTAAACATCTATAAAATACAGAAAGAATATTATATATTTATATTAGCGCACTACAGTGAAATGCCATATAAGTATCTCCATTTGTTTCTATATAATTAGAAATTATATTTAATGCATTAAAGTCATAATCGAACGATACACTAACACTTTCATTTGAAGAATTGTCAACGAGGGCCTTGGCTTGGACAATATCAATTGCCAAAACTCGTAGTTCTAGTGAATTTGCGTGTCATAATGTATGTGTGTGTGTGTGTGTGTGTGTGTGGGTGTGTGTGTATGATGTGTTCCTACTAAATTAACGCGATAGTACAAACAACGATACAATGAGACATTTTATCAGCTCACATTGCTGACAAGAATTTTTAATTCCTTTGTCCCAAAGCCATTTTTTTTTTTAAAGTAAATATCTGAACGCCACCTAACGAATCAAACGGAAGGAGTAAGCAATGTGCAAACCCATGCAGCGGAATAGCGTTTCGCGGAACGAGAGTAGAACCAATCACGAGATTCTCTAGAAACACGGAATTCTCGTTATTGGTTCTACTCTCATTCCGCGTTACGCTA